GGGGGGGGGGGGGGGGGGGTCGAAACGATCGCAAAGGCGGTATACTACGTATACGCGCCAAAAAAAAACCCGAAAATACCGCAGGAAATGGGAGACGGGTCAAAACTGACCCGGTATTGTCGTTCTCGCGGTAGTCGTGAAAAAAAGTTCTAGCTACTCGAATTTGTTTTTCAGTGTTTTTTCTTAAGTATTTTTGCTGGATTTTCGGACAGTTTAAAACTGCTCAAAATGCTGATAAAACTTGAAACAGCATCATATCTTTGCTTCCCTCAATAATTACTTCACTTTTTGCCGACAATCATGAATTCTGTGGACAGTTATTTTGGTCCCCTTAAAAATCGCGATTTCCAATCCATACAGCATTGTAGTTTCACCATCTGTAAACGTGGGCACCATCTTCTAATACCCTCGAGTTCTAAAAACGTCTATCTGAAGTTTGCCTTCGATTGACCCAATATACAAAAAACCTAACAAGGAACAGGAATAGTTGCAGGGCAGATCAGACACTCATTGATTTCCTCTCCTGTTTCATATTTCTAACAAATCATGCGTTATTTGCTACTTTTTTGCCTCATTTATAGGGAGCTAGTTGACGTTATTGCCTAAAACAGGTGCCCCGAGACTTTTAACCTCACTCTCCCTCCCCCCTTCCTCCAATCGGTTGGCGCCTAATCGTGTGCTTTTGATTGTGCAAACCTTCCCTCAGAATCATAGACTTTTCTCAAAAGTAGAATTTAGAATAACCAATAAAGGCCTATTAAAGGGTTAACTTCATATCATCTGATAATGCAAATTTTTTCAGTTTTAATTTGACCTTCTTAGTTATTGTTTGTAACACTAGGCTCTAATAGTGGCGGATATACTAAAAAGCACCAGTCAATAGTGAAATTTCGTTTTTTCCTTCTTTTTTGGGGCAAAAGTAATTAAATTTTTCTACTTACTGACAACTCCTTTCAGGCCATTGCACATCAACAATATCCTAAACTTAATCTTTAAGATAAGCATGATAGCTCTGAACTCGACGGACACTAGAACAAAAAGGAAATAAAATTAAATACATGCGCTGCTGGAAAATACGTTGTTGGGCGAGAGGAGGCAAAATATTAATAGATTCCTCTTGTTATGATAACTCAATTTATTCTTTTATGACTGTTGTATTCATTGCATGCTATTTTGAGAGATATATCATTTTGGCCATAATGAATGGCCAAATAAAACTTTAAAATATTAGTTAGATATAGCGTTAGCCATATTATCAACTATAATCGAAAGAACATAGCAGGAACATTCAAAGGACGAGAAAATTTCACCTACCAGTTCTTACTTTCACCTCTGTGTCCGGTACAACGTATGTTTCTATGCGGACCGTTCCACATTCGTCACACGCTACTTTTTTTACTACTGTCACTGGTACCTTCCACGAGGCCTCTGAAACGTATGGAAAGAATAGAAACGTATAGAAGTATAGAAACGAGGAATGCAGATCTTTCTGATCTTCTTTTGATTGGTTTGTTCATTGACATTTACAAAGGATGCATTATGAGGCACTTGTGGACCGTATTATCAACCGTCAATTAAAAAAGTGGTAACTGAGATTAATTTAAGTGGGGTGAAATAAAAAGCAGTGCACTCAAATAGAGGGACTCCAATGAGACGCGCGTAATTGAAATGGAATTTGTCAAATTTAAATTTGCGAGTGCTTTTTTACGACTGTAAAACGAAGTTTTTTTTTTTTTTTTTTTTTTTTTTTTTTTTAAGAATTAAATATATATATGAGTCGCTTTTACAGCGCTCTTTGGCGCTTTACGACGCCTAATCGCCACAAAGCTCGATCTTCCCACAGGTCATCAGGGAGTTGACAATCTCTTATCTCATTTAACTACCCCTGTCGCCAACCTCTCTCTAGGCGTCCCCTACGTCTCCTCCCAGGAGGAACCCAATCAAGCATCTTTTTTGGCAGCCTCTCTTCCGTCATTCTATTGACATGACCGTACCAGACAATTACATAGAAGAAGAAGAATTAAATACATTTTAAAAATGATGGTCATACTCTTTTCTGAAACAAGCAGAGGAAGTCTTGATAATATTCTTAACATGATTAATTTTTTCTTCGCAAAATTGGAAGATCTGCCGAGGTGATACCAAAACCAGTTTTAATAACTGTGCGAAGGTTTGCGCGTCAGCGTTACTTTAAAAGCGAGCCTTACATACGGTTTACTTACCGGCGGCTAAGAAGAAAGTCATCTCAGCATTGTTTTCGTTAACAACGGCCCAGAATCGACGCATGTACTGTATGTGCTTCCTAAAAAAAGGAAACAATGTCACTTGATTTTAGGCAAAGAAAATTTCGCTAAGGATTTTATTCCCTAGTATTTTTTTAGGATTTAATGGATTTCATCAATTAGGATTTAGAACCGTTTGTTTTCATTAAAATGGAAGAGTCATAAAATGAAAGCACCTCACTTTAAAACTAAATTGTTTCTCATAACCCCAGTCGGACCGAGTTTGAACTTACTGTCCCGGGACTCGCTGGAATTCTCACTACAAGTAAGCAATAGGGTCACACCCACACGGGAAAATTGAAACAAAAATAAGTGCAGGAGCATAGGATTCCTAACATACAGAGCGTTTCAAGCCGCCCGCACCAGGCTGTTTTCTCGGTTAATTTAGGTCGTACAAATCTAGGAAACCAAGGGGGTTAATAGAAAAAAGGTCCCGAATGAATGGGGCAATTTGAACCCATTGATAATTGAGGTTTTTTGTTGTACTCTTTAATTTGGATACAATCAATTTGCGATTAGGAAGGGAGCTCCGACTTTATAAAATGAAGCCCTCCCCGTTTACCTTCCGAGGGGGCCAGAGGGGCTTCGGGACCATGAAATTAGGATTTTTTGGAGTCCTTTACCCGGGATATTATTTGTTTCCAAAGAATCCACGGCAACTTTGCAGTCATAGAGAAAGAGGAGAGGGCACTGCTTCCTGCTCTTTAGGGCTCATTTTTGGGCTCAGGGTGGGCCATTTTTGGATTTTTAGGTGTCAGGTTAATGGGAAATTTCCCGTAATTTTGAAGTCTAATGCAATCGAATCGCGATTCTGTAGGAAACCCCAACTTTGGGATCATGACCCTCCTTTAATCCCTCTCCACCCTCCTCAAAACACTCTTCTATTTTTTCTTCTACTCCCGCTTTCTGCTCTTCTCTCTCTGGATTTCTTCTTATCTGACCTATGCAAAAAGTTCTATAATTTACGAAGTCTATTACACCAGAGGTGTCGTCAGATAATTTGGCCATTGTTTACTTTCGGTTTGGTGCCGTTTTCGCGTCACTACTATCCACATGAAAACACCTATCTCTCGCAGAAGCGAGAACACATGCTTGGTTAGGTTTCTTAATTCAATCAAACCTTGTGACACCTCAATTTTTAGCCACACAGAAAGCAAAACCACATTAAATTCGTGGATCATAATTGATAAGTACTTTTTTTACGATACGATCATAAGACGGATGTTTTCAAGGTGGATAATAGCGAACGCCGCTTTAAAGACATAGAGGCATAAATTCGTCGTTGACGCTTGCAAACCGAAAATTAATGGTGGCCAACTTATCTGACGACAACTCTAGGGTTAAAATATTTATCAGAACTATATTCAAACAGCTATTGAACATTACCATTCTTCCAATCGCATCTTACTGCGTTTTCAATTTATCAAAACTTCCCCTATAGGTCATTGATTCTGTGAGATATTTCAAAATTAGCTTTTATTTAAATAGCAAAAAAGTGCATTTTCTTCTCGCTTTATACCTACGACCCGCGGTAACTGAATACCTACAAAGTCTACAATTTGATTGGAAAATATTTCAAGTTACTCATATCTAAATACCTTCAAATTGATTTAAGAAATAAGATTCTGAGCCATGAAAAAATATGTAAAGCTCTTACTTCCTGTGGTAGGAAAACCATTGTCCTTGCAATGTCCGCCCTCCGATTCGGCCAACGTCTAATCCAATGCAGCCGCAAGCCTTAGCCGAACATTTGTCTGTGAAATAAGCACGTTGAGTTGCGATTGGAGGTGAAAAATGTTTTCATAGTATACGGTATGTTTTATTTTAATGTGATTTACTGAGAATTGAAGGAAAGCATGTTTTGAAGCCACTCATGGGTAAAAAACTAATAAATAAAGTTGTCCGTTCATCCTCGGAAAATAAATTAAGTCGATGAACAAAATTGAACGATCAGTGCTACTGTTCATATCTTATTCAAGTTGCAACATTGTTGTATAGCAAAAGTTTGCAACGTGCCCATTCAAAAAGTGATCCAATAATGTTCTCAAAGGAATTATTGTTTGAGGATATGCATGAAACTTCTTTTTGATTCAATCAATGTATGCGATACAAGCGATACAACTTGACACCTGAGCGTTTCCTCTATAGACTCACCAAAGTCTTCTTAATGCAAATCAAGGAATATTCAGACGTATAGTGGGATATAATCCTTACAAACCCTCACACACACACCCTAATACACACAAAAAAACATGAAATCCACAAAAATAATACAGCGTATCTCATGTGAATAAAATACTTACTGAACATTCCGCAAGAATTTCCTTTGCCCCAGAAATTGTTGAGGGTTACTCTGGTTATGAAAACGGCATAGTACCTCCTCACAACCCACTAAGACAGAAATACCGATGGTTTCTTTATGAATCATTGAAATAATCATATCTAATGTATTATATTCGTACATTGGGTTTTTTTTAAAAAAAAAAAAAAAAAAAAAAAAAAAAAAAAAAAAAACTAATGTGGATTATTCCTAGGTAGGAAAATTGTACATAAACTACAGGTATCTTTATATGAAAACAGACTGTTATCTTGCCGTGTTCTGCAAGGCGGAGCTGCAATAAAGCAAAAGCAATTTGAAAAAAAAAAAAAAAAAAAAATTACCCAAAATTGTGCTAATTTCCTCGACGAATTGTCAGGTAGTATGTCAATTAGTTCTTTTTTTTGCTGTTTCACTAAAAATTTTGAAGCGGTTTTACGCATACAGATTAACTTTTTTGGGCGCGGTGATCACCAGGCAAACAGAACTTACGTCCTGATTAAAGGAAGGGAAGGAATAATAATAGAAATAGACGAAGGATAGAGTTTTTAGTTATCATTTAAGTTTTTACTATTTGCAAAATAGTGCAACAATCCCATTATGAGGTGTTATTAATAACAAATTTTGTCATTGAGGTTCAGATCAGAATAACGCAAAAAAATGACAGCAAAAAATTAGTGTAAAGTTCTTAAGTCATTTTAGAGAATTTAAACATATTCTAAGAAAAGCATGCTTAAAAAGTCAAGACTTTTAGAAAACGAAAACTTACGGGAAACTCGGTTATTTCACAGTGTTTGTAATTCCAACATGAGTCACACTCTCCACATGCCTCGCTCGGTTGGATGTACACCGCGGCAAAGGCCACAAGCCCCAACAATAATACCACTTTCATGACTGTAGAAATAAAATCAGAATGAAATTGTCTTCCCTTTTGGATTAAATTGTCTCTCAATTCGATAACGAACATTAAATAAATTAAAAAAATTAAATAGATAAATAAATAAATAAAAATTAGAAAAAAACAGCGCCCAGTCGAAAGTCATAACAGAGTATCTATACTCGTAGATTTGAAAACAAAAAGGTAAAAATTCTCATGGAAATAAAATGGAAATTCTCAGGTGAAAATTCTCGTTGGTCTCATCAGTACTGTGCTAGCATATTTGTTGGTTGTAATTCTGTACGGAGAAAAAAGCGGAAGGATTAAGAATTGAAGGGCGTCGAGAGAAAAAGATTTGAGTGGCACTAGACTGGAACACGCGCAATTTCAAGGGAAATTATCTTAGTCCTTTGTGCCGAGCGCTTATTTGCGTTTTCGGTACAAAAGCGTGTGTTGCATTGCAGTATTTTTGAAATAATTGCTTACTTACTCATTAAAATATAGGCAAAGCTATTGTTCCAGCATATACTTTGTTAAAATAGTAAGTACCACATCTCATTATTTTGCTTAAATGCTGAAGTTTAATGTCCATTTTTACATGAGTTTCTATAAAATTAGTAAAGAAGATTGATAGGAGAATCAATATTGAATGTAATATATTTTGGGCTCTCGAAGACGCAGTCAATGGATGGTCAGAACGAAAGGCTCCGTGGTTGACAACTGGATCCCTTACAATTTTTGCAACAACTTAAAATTCTATTTTGGGTCTTGAGTTTTTTAAACATGTTTGGTTTAAGTACGCATGAAATTTTACTTGGTGAACTCAAAAATGTTCTACATTTTTTCTTCTCTCTAAAAATGTGTTGTTTTAAACAACGCAGAATTCATCTCCTTAAAATTGTGGAAGGTAAAAGTAGCGAATGATTCAAAACATGACCGTTTACAAGATAAGATACCCTTTTTCTGGGAGAGCAATTCTATTCAATTTGGTTGAAAACACCATTTGAGTTTCCAACTAAAAACACTCTTTAATTAAAAAAAAATAAAATAAAATGAAATCAAAGACAAATGATGAACTTCTTTTCTTTCCAATCAATAGCATACAATTACATTTCAATTTGGTAAAATAAAAAAATTTTAAATCCTTTTTTTCCTCTCAAGGCTACGTTTTTTTGATGCCACACTTCGAATCATATCGGATTCGGTTCTTATTGTTGAAAAAGTTTGTAAGACACCACCTTAATCAGTTATACTATAATATCAGTTCTCAGTTCCCAGTTTTTCGCCACAACGGTTTCTTTTCCTATGGACGGTCACGTTCGAATCATCTCACTCCAAACAGGAACAAATTCTCTTTTGTAAGAATCCTGAAATTTATGAAAATTTATGCAAACTGAAAATGAACTTAACCCTTTTGAAAAGAACTGACAGAGTTGAAGAAAATGCTCACAAAGACGATTCACATACCTGCTCAGTGGTGTGAACTGCAGTCAAAACTAGTTTACAGTAAATAAAACAGGGTATATATAATAGAAATAGACCGTAAATCACTAAGGTTGAACCGTGATTTGTTTATACTGCTGCTCGAGATAGGACCGAAAATACTTGCTTAGAAGCTGAAGAATTATCGCTTTTTGTGGGTCGAAAGCAGCACCTGCAGTAAACAGCTTTTGTAGACACTGCGAATAAAACTTGACAAATTCTACGTCGAAAGATGCGTTATGCTCACACCAAAACCGACTGCATATTTTGCATAGGCAGATTTACCACATTTTACACCTGAGTTAATATTTAAAATAAAATACCTAGGTCTTTAATGTTTGTACCTCGATGTGTTGTTGTCACCTGACCTTCGCGAAAGGAAAGGGATAATAGAGATCGTATCATGTGCTTAATATTTTTAATTGTATGGCTTGCTTCTGGCTTGTTTTAAAAAAAAAACATTGCTAGGGCAGTTTTCTTTAATTTTTTAAAAAAAATGTCTCAGAGGTTGATAAAAATGTATGTGGTTGAATTTTTTCTTTTATTCAAAGAAAACTGTATCATCTTGAATAATATTTTTTCCTAATGCAATGTAATGTTATACTACCAAAATCATGAGTTTACGTAAAAGAAAATGCTAATTAACCTCAGTTGCAGAGGGTAGAATTTTGTTCGCTCTCTCCTTTTTTTCCTTCGTCTTCTGAATTTCTGAGGCTTTACAAAAATAACGCTATTTAGGACTCCTTTCCAACCAAAATGAGTGTAAAAGATGTAAAAATAAACTCTATGCAAGTGCGGAGAGAAAATTTTCTAACAGAGCCTCCTAAGTTTCAAAAAAGTCTTTTTTTTCTCACATTCCTCGGGGAGTTCATAATTCGTTGCTTATAACGTCAAATGGAACACAAGTGTATCCCTACCCAACGCACGCATGTGTTTCTGGCAACAGGCTAAAAAATTCTCGGTCCGCCGTTATGATCCGCCGTTTTTTTCTTTCTTTTTTGACGGTGCGAAAAAAATTTTAAATCCCGCCGGAAGAGGCAGACGCCCTCCTCTTAGTGATGATTCTTGCAAGATGGCGTCATTGTTTTTCCTCCAATTAAATATATTTAAAAAAATCGATTCTAAATAAGATAGTTTGCCTCAATACATCGATTTTTCATTGGTTTACATGAGCGAAACCCATCGTTGCCAACTCTCAAGAATGACCACCGGACGGCTTTGCCTTCAAATTACGAGTTGCCGTTTTTTTTAATGAAATTCGATTTTCTTTACGTTATCCACGTTGAGTTGTTTACGTTACGCCCTTGTGTCCTTTCCCGCGTTATTTCATGCGAAAATGGCAACGCTGCCCGTCCCTAAATGGAGAACTCATCAAACATGCAGCGACCAAGCCTATTGTTCTCTGTTGTTGAGTACTCATGAGAGTATCCTGGAGAGAGCAAGAGAGGGGTGGACACATGGACGGGGCAGAGGGCGGCGCCTAACACTAACAACCGACATCGAGCCTCAGGAAGTTTTGAAAGCTTTGAAGCTTCGCAGTGACGAGGGTGGGGGTGGACTGCGTGAATGAATGAACACAACGCAGTGAGGTCCTGTCAGACTGCGCTTTGGCCCAATCGAGGGGGTTTGTAGTTCCTCGTCAACTTTTTTGCTCACGAATTTAGGCGGTTAATTGGTAAAAATATTTTTTGGCCATGGTTCGTTGCGAGATCCTTACATTGAATCGATACCATACTGGAAAAAAGAGTCGCTTGGATCTAGAGTCCTGACACTTAAAAACATTGACAAGAAAAAATACTCTTGATTCAATCAGAGTTTCCTTTGAATCGAAGAGCCAAGCCTCTTGATTTAAGCGGATATCCTTTTGATTCGAGCAAAAATCCGATTGAATCAAGAGTTTTTTTTTTCGGCAATGTTTTTATGAATCTGGACTCTAGATCCAAGCGACTTTTTTCCAGTGTACACTAGAAAAAAATTTACGGGCTGTATAGACATACCGTCCGTTCCGGGCTCAGAGGCCGAAAGTTCCGGGTGCAGGAGTCGTAACTTCGATTACTCCGGGTGCTATGCCCGGAGCTTTCGACCTCTGAGCCTGGAACGTGGACGGTATGTCTATAAAGCCCATGAGTAAGGCCTCCACGGCCACAGTTTTTTTTTTTTTTTTTTTTATTCAGTGTAAGAAGAGAGGAAGTTTAAAATCTTATGAGCGTTATCAGGTGTCGCTAAGATTTCGTGACTTTCCTGGTGTTCTTTTTTGCGAGGCAACTAAAAGGATATCACATGCACATCATGGAATTTTCACTGGAAATTTACTCCAAATGTTGGTTTCATTTTCATGACAAGAGTTCCGGGTGCAGGAGCCGTAACTTCGATTACTCCGGGTGCTATGCCCGGAGCACTCATTTGTCTGGACATGTCAGCATTGTCACTCTCAAGACACCAAATTCCCATTAAAGAGACAAACATTTGTAAATCTTAGCAACACTTGCTGGCTCTTACGAAGTTGGTGACCAAATATTTTGCAATTATACATTGCAGTTTTCGATTTAGTTGTAACTATCCCTAGAAGTACTTATATACTATGGTATAGTGGTATAAGTGAACGAAAGTTTGGTCGCATGAAATGAGAGTGCGGTGACATGAACCAAACAGCCCGAACTGGATAGAACACCGCGCTACTATTCACACGATCACATTTTTGTTCTCGATTCTTTATAACAAGATGCATTCCAAGGCAGTTTAAATGCCATTAAGATGAACAGCGGAAGTAGGACTGAATCACAAGAACGTCATGCCTCTGAAAGATATTTTGCCAATTAACGAGGAAGCAAAGTTACGCACAAAAGCGGATTATATATTTTCCTCTGAATTAAAGTCATAAAGCGACACAGAGAGGATTCCGCCACTAAATACTCAAGATGCATGAAAGTTACAGAGGTGCTGCAAAGGAAAATGCTGCGAATTAAAATGACTCGGCGATCGTGTTGACAAAATGGACACTAAAATTGCCATTTTCGACGGCACAATTGTTGAACTGCAAAAATTTGAGATTCAATAAACGCGATTATAAAAATATTTCGTGTGAAAATTGGCAATCTTCAATAAACCTTCCTCCTTTTACAGCACTTCAAGAATTTTGCATCAACATCTTTCCGAATTCACGCCTGCATTCTTTTATGCAACTGCGTTGCTTTAAAACTTTGAAATTTCGCTTTCCCTAGTGCAAGGGTTCTCACATTCGGGATTTCGATAAATAACTTGCATACATAAAGCACGAAGGTGACGTGAGAGATCTAGTTTTCATCAAACTTTGGAAAACTTCGAATCATTCGCGCAGTTTTGCTGTCAAATTGTTGAGGCGCCCTGTCACACTTGCAGCACCCTCAACAAGAGCTCAAAAAGCACCTGTCAGATCGTGCGATTGAAAAATCTGTCATCAACTCAATCATACGATATTTCGCCAAATGTTCTTGCTACCACACGATGAAATTCAGAGACT